ATTTGGGAAATACGCGAATGATATTATTTAACAAGCCCGAACCCAGGTGGTCCCTAATGGGGTAGGCACGTGTTTACCGGAGCGGCTCGCCCCCTTTCCAAGTTTCCACTGCCTAACAGCAAATCGTCCTTTGCACCATGAAGCAATCGTTCCTTTAATAAATCTTATTTATCTTTTTAAGAGATAAGGTACCACCTGCTCTTTTCCTTGATACAGTTTCCACATGTGCCTTCGTTTGCGCAAAAACGAAATCGGTTCTGTTGCAAATTGACAAACATGACTAATATGGATAATAAACTTCAATGGGCTAATGGAATTGATGGAGACAAATACAGCAATAGCAAGGACGACTTACCTTACCAGTGGAAGGAACTAATGTCAGGGAAATAAAAAAAAGAGTAAACATTAAACCTTGTTAATAAATGGGGCCAGGTACAAAAACTTCACGTCTCTGAGGAAAAAACCAAGGTGCAATTTCTAAAAAGGAAAAATTGCGAGTTCCAATCATCCTAAAATTGTTCTCAATGGAAAAGTAATAAAAGTGAAAAGAAATATAGTATACTTGGAGGTAGTAATAAGCAACAGTTTCAGTCCAAGCACCCAAATTGAAAAAATGATGAAAATAGTAGATGAGCAAAACTACCTGGCAACCTGGCTAAAGCAACTTGGGGAATGAAGTATGAAAGCACTGAAATAATATACAAAGTAGCAATCCTTTCAATAATATGCTATGTAGCACCATTATGAGCTGAGAAATTAAATAAATCCTAGTTTATCAAACTGTTAACAATACAAAGAGGTGCCCTAAAATGGATTTCAAAAGGCAACCAAACCACGTCAATGGACATTTTGCAAGTTATAACAGGGCAGGTCCCAATAGATTGAATTGCAAAAATAGAACTATAATGCAATAATTATAAACATTAAAGAAATTGAAAAATAATATAATCATAACATGGCAAACTAGATGGAATACAAGTTTAAAAGGTACAACAACCTACAAATTATTTCCAACTACAAATAAAAGGATCAAAAATAACTCATTTATCTATCCAAATTATCCCTTACTGGGCATGGAAGATTTAACAATATCTACACGAATTTGTATCGTCGTGAAGAAGTTGAAAGAGCATAACTCACAATTAAGGATTGTGAAATATACTGAAACAAAAGAATGGGTATAGAAATAGAAATAAAAATGCAAATAAATAGTGATAGAAAGCTATCAATACTGAAAACAAACAAAAATATATTACCAAATTCAAACGAACAAAAGAGGTAAATTAAAAAATATTACAAGCATGGTGGCGCCTAATTGAAAATTAATGTATTAATTTAAAACAAGTTCACAGTTAAAATAACTTAAGACCAGCCCCTTTATCCAAATGTTACTTGCAAATAAGCCTTAAAAGGGGACTTAACTCCACAAAGCCATAAAAACTTGACACAATTACAACAGTTACTATTGAATGTTTTATCAGGATGAAAGCAAATACGAATTACTGCAATATAAATATTTAAGTTTCTCATTATCCATTTTTATTGTTAATGAGTACAAACTTTACAATTTACAAGATTACAAATGGGTAAATAAAAATGTAAAGACGTAACTGTGTATGTAGGTATTATTAATTAACGTAAATAACTGAAATTTTATTATTATTTATGATAGTTCGTTTATTTTTTACTATTTCCCTTATGGCTGAATACAGATGATTCCATAAATTGTAACTACATAAATTGAACCTTTTTTAGGTAAAAATTTGAATTAATTAAAATTTAATGAAAAGATTCAGTGGATTTTGAATTTTTATAACTATAAAAGTTAATAATAATTTCAAAATGTATGACCTTTCTTTAAAACTTGTATATGTTTTTGAGCTGGATACACAATTTTTTTCTTTGTGACCATTTTTGTTAGTTAGGATAAGTGTGTGGTGATTAGTGATCATTAGTCGATGATTATTCGGAAATTCACGATTTCTGAATAATAATAGTTAGGATAAGTGTTAGGGATTGGTTAGGTTAAAGGTCCTAGGTTCAAATCCAATAGCTCTGCATTCGATTTTTTTTTTCAAAAACATCAGTTGGGGACGTCGGTAGGTGCGCAATGGTTTAGGCGTTGACACGGCACTCATCACTGTAAGGTAAAGGTCCAGCGGCCCTGCATTCGAACCCAACATACTTACAAATGGTTTTTTTTTTTTTTTCAAAAACACCGCACCCTGAGGGTTGATATAATATAACCTCTGCTGTTGTGAACACTCGTAAAAAAAAATAATAATAAAAAAATAAATAAAAAAAAAATAATAAAAAAACCAGCACCCCAAGGGTGAATTTATCCTCATAGTTGAAATACCCTCATTTAAAAAAGTGTACTTAAAACTTAACGAATAATCTGGATCTAGGTATGGTCTGGATTTTAAAAAAAATTAATTGTTATATCCTAATCTTTTTGCTTATTTTAAGGTAATCATAAGTACAAATCGATCTTAAAGATACATACAAATTTATATAATTAAATTTCTTTGAAAATAGACTCAGTCCCAACATACCCAAGAACTGTGAAGGATTTTTTATCCAGAACATGCTCAGATTATTTGTGATTAAAAAAGTTATCAGTACACCTAACACTTTTAAATTATGGATTTATATAGGCTCAATTCTGTACATATGTGCAGAACCAAACATATGACTACTCACAATGAGCAACAAAAATCACCCACCCAAATGTTTTGGTGGTCCAGGGTCTTAACTGTACCACTGCCGAAGTTAGGCTCCAGGGGCCATCTTCATTTCAGACTTAACAGAGTTTTAACCTAAACACACTCACTTTATCACTTATTCTTAAATACATTCTTTCTTATTTATATATCATTCGCTCAAGTAGGGTGGTGGAGTACTTGATATTCCTTTATCACCTTTACACATATAAATCACTATACATTCACCCAATATTTCTCAACCCATGCTAGGGGACACAAAACAATACTTATTTCTCTTGGGTGTTTTTCAGGAAATATTAAAAGTCAACAACCGGAAAAGAAGAATAAAAAATACATAGTACAATAAAAACAACCCTGTTTCATACAAAATTTGGAGAAGAGAAACCATAGGTTTGCTGCAGTATTCTCAGAACACAATTCTCATATTTGATGATATTCCTACTTGCTATACATATGGAGCTAAGGAATGACCCATTGAGCAACATATCGATGCATGCCAGACAAATACATGGGTTTTATACCAAAAGCAAGTGTATTTGTATGACATGTGGGAGCACATTTTAACTGACAAAGGAGTTGCTAAAAGCTTAACAAAGTAACAATATTTTCTTTTTAATTGGCCTCATCTCTGATTGTTTTTCAAGATATTATCAGTGTGAAGAACATGAATGGCTGGAATAGCCTAATTTACAGGCCTTCCGTACAATTATCTTGATCATGTATCTAACAGGTCAGTAAAAAAAAAAAAAAAACAAGAATGGGAGTAGATAAGGAAGCAAAAGAGTTTTTTGATTAATAAAAAATCTTGATAAAGAAAAATGACAGCAAGTTAAAAAAAATTAAATTACTGAAAATATCAAGATTTTATTATTGCTTTTAACCAAATTTATATAATTAGGATATAGCAGAGGAAAGAGGATGAAAAAATTGTTGATTAATAATGATGAAGATGAAAAATACCTGTACACTTACAATTCTGAATAAAACAGCATTCGTTATAGAATAAAATCTCATCCTATAGCTATGAGAAACTATTTTTAGTGTCGTATGGTTTGCTGAAAAAGATTGGTAAAATTGCTACAAAGGTACATGATTCAAAACATTATGCCTTAAACAATATATTAACATTAATTATGACAATATTTATTAAAATATTCTAATTTATAAAAATCACCATCTTCCTTATCAAATTTTAAATTTGTATCGTTAGGGAAATGTTGGAATAATTATCAACAAGAGAAAGATTTACTTGGCTCATTGTTGGAACTAATACTAAGGTTCACTTAGTCGTAATACAGTTGAAATTTGGTTCATTGCTTCATTTCCTGCTTGGCTTTTCCTTTAATCAAGTAGGAAGGCGTTTCTTTATACTTAAACAATTTGTAATAACAAAGCGCACAGCACGGCATACCTCTCTATCTTCAACCCCGGCTTTCTCTGATTAAATTACTGCTGGAGTTCATTAGCCGTAATCCCTGTGGCTCGATATTCAAACAGTCAACTCATTCTCTCAAGAAATTTCGACTTCATGAATATTTTTCATATAATGCTATTTTGTCTCTAATATATTCAAATATTTTTTATCGCACGTAATTCTCTAATGGCACAGGAAATTGTATTTATATGATACTATAACCTTTGTTTAACATAAATTTTGATTGTTAATGTTGTCGTTAGGCATTGTCCTCTTTGGAAAAATGTTCTTCTTCCATTATTGGTAATGAATACATTGAAATCTAACACAAAGCACTTTGATATATCTACATTTACATATCCAGTATGCCAAACCATTTGAATTGCTTATGGAACAGCATTAACATATTAACTTAATCTATAATCTGCCATTTGAAATTCAACTATAAACAAGCTTCTAAGAAGTTCTTAATAACACATACAACAGGCACACTGGCACCATTAAACTGTAATTATTTTATATTTTATAATAACAGTTTATAACTTTAAAATAGTTTAGTCAGTTTGTTACAAGCAGTTCATGATTAAACTTAAATTATTAACTTCAGTATGAACAATGTTAAATTTTATTGAATTAAAACAAATATAACAGTCTCAAATTGTGGCTAAAACAAATATAATACGATGCTTTGGGAAGAGAGAGAGTTGTTTGGAATGTTGAATTGGAAAAGTTTGGGGGTGACACGGAGAAAAATCGAACGAGAGAAGAAGAGTTAATAAGTAGTAACTTCTATTCTAATTCTAACTCTTCTTAAATAATGTCAAGTTTCTTCCGTACATTGTTTTTATTTTATTTTTCAGATTGGAGATTTTTCAGTTTTTGAAACAAACATCCGTTATGTTGGTGGTTTGTTAACGTGCTATTCCATCACTGGAGATGTTATGTTCAGAGACAAGGCGGAATACATCGCCAAGAAGCTTTTACCAGCGTTTGAAACCCCGACTGGAATTCCAAATGCACTCATCAACTTCAAAACCGGGGTGAGTGTTTTTGCAATGATGTCCCTGCACATGTTATTTTGAAATATTGAAAAACGATCGTTACATTTTCAGCATAGCAAGAATTACGCCTGGGCGAGCGGGGGTTCCAGTATTTTATCAGAATTTGGAACACTCTTTTTAGAGTTTTCATATTTGTCAGATGTCACTGGAAATCCAGTTTTCAAGGAAAAGGTGACCAATATTAGGAGAGTGCTACAATCGATGGATAAACCGAAAGGACTATATCCAAATTATCTCAATCCAAAAACAGGAAAATGGGGGCAATGTAAGTAGTTTTGATTTTTCATTATGTCTAATCAAATTCAACATGACAATGTACCAGCTAACCAGAAAAGTTTGTGCGGGTTGAAAGGGTTTAATAACATCACAATTAAAATTAGTTTAGAAATATTTTATTTGGGGGAAATAATCTTCATCAGCATCTATAGCCAACACCCAATAAGTTTCTAGGCCAGTTATGCTCTTCTTATCAAATTTGGGATCCCAGGACTTAAAAAATAAATTAAGTTCATTGTCCAGCAGTTAGTGATTTTTGAACTCTTGATTGCACATATGATTGCCCATTTCTAAAAAAAGGTACAAGACAGATGGGGCCCGGTTTGGAGAGCACAGAGGGTGTAGCAACCTCCCAACATCATTGTCACTTCCTTTGTCATGTGGGCTGTATAAGGTCTTGCATTGTCCTGGTGAAAAATTGAACGGCCAAGGCAAGAGATACTTTTTTGTGATGGTCTGCCACATGGGGCGATATCATATTGCGCAATACCTTTTTTTTCCCCTTATACCAGGGACTGGAGGAGTTCTGCAGCTGAGCTGTACAGCTTACTGTACTTTTTCCCTGGCTCCATATTTTGGAGGAGGGCTCGCAACACAAATGTGAACTTGAGCCCCCATTGTACTGGTGTTCTTCCATCGAAGAAACTCATTTTTGAAGGGGGTTGGGTCCAAATTCAGGGTCGCTGAGATCTGATCCCGCTCCTTCCATTGATGAGTGCCGAGTCAATTTCTTTCAATTGTGGCCACCCTTAGGCGTCAGAAAAGTCCAGAGGCGACGGTGGGGATCGAACCCATGACCGCAGGATCTACTAGCCGAGAGTCTGACTCCTTAACCACTCGGCTACCGCAGCCCCAATACCTGCCATACTCCTCCACCAAACAGAAAAAATCACCTTTTATTGGTGAATATTTGGTGGGAAATGGGACAGGACCGTTTGGTGACAACTAATGACTTCTTGGTGTTATTGTACAGGATCCATTTTTCGTTCCTTCTGACAATTCAGTGAAAAAAGTCTTTACTTTGAGCCATGAATGCCATGAAAGGCAAATGTTTTGACACTGAAGCTTGTTACAATCTGTCAATTTATAAGAAACCCATTTGCCCAGCTTTCAAGTCTTCCCAAGTTGATAAATGTTTCATCACTTACATTGAACACATTGGCAAACTACATTTGACTCGAATCATGTTCGATAACTTCCCTCAGTTCATTGTCATTCAAGACAGAAGGTCTATCAGACCTCAGCCTCCCCCTTTGTTCCCAGATAAAAACTTTTTGAACCACTTTTTGGCAATGCACTCACTTATTGTTTCATCATGAATGCAGTGCAAATTTTATGAGCGGCCTTGGCCACTCTAGCACTGGGCTTAAGATATTCATTAACTTTGCACAATTTATCGGTTTGTATGTCATGAGAAAGAAAATATTTTATCATTTACAGTGAACTGTTCAAGATACTTTTTCTGAATTGATGCATTAACCGCCTGGTATTGGAGTGGTGCAAAATGTTGTTTAACGGCATTAAAATTACAGCAAATAAAAAAACCGCACCAACGTTGCTGGTTAGCTTACTTCTTTTACGAATATTGTTGCAAAATTTTTATCATTTTGACAGCCATATTCAATTTTACTTCCTTAACTTATTGTGTTTACTGTACATACAAAAAAAACAATGAATTTTTGCTCAGAGCACATACGGCTGGCAATAATCGCTTAATATTTGTCGGCCCATAAATAAAATGACACATACATACATTTTCTGTATAATCTATTATTTTAGCATATTTTTATTAAGCTATAATTAAACAAATAAAATATGCAGTTTTTGTAAATTACTGACCAACCTTTATGAAAATGAACCTAAAAGCAAGTATAAAAAAAAATCTTTCTTTGCTCTTGTCTTTGATATTGTTTTTCCTGATAGTCTTTTAAAACTATTTGACCACTCATCTTTGCCTCTTTATAATATAAATTACTTTAAGGTACATGTTGTAATTATTATTAAAAATTACAGTAATTACTGTATATGTTAGATGTGATTTGGTGATTTGCACTTGAAACAAGGCTGTTAAATATTGTACATTGAATTACAAATAGGATGCAATTAAAAGCACAGTTTAAAATACACAAGGATGGCAGCTATCAATATTAATGGAGGTTTTACAACTTTGAAGTTTTAGTTCAGTTTTCAATTGAAATAGAAGTTATTGATCAGTTCGGTTTAATGAAACTGATTCTGGTATAAGGGACAGACTCATGGTCGTGATGAAAATGATCAAAGGGTTGACAAGCCTAATGAGGTCCTTTTAAATAGTTGTATCATCATATTGGCACTAGATTTTTGTTTAAATATTGCAAAGAAAAAATAGTTATAGTATAATTTAATAAAATGAAAGTGAAATTCGATTTACAGCAATAGTAACATGAATTTTATTTATGAATCTTTATTATTATTATATTAACTTAAAATTATTAAAATGTGTATAGGGTAAAATATTATTTAAATTAAATATAGAAAGAACCACTGTAATTCTTATCATAATAACATGTAACTACCCGTTGGGTGATGCAGACGAGAGGTGAAATCATTTTACATTTCATACCATTATCAATTAAAAGCACCATGAGCTCTGTTGGGTTTTGAACCCAAAATTGCTACCATGAAGTATAAATTGTACACTCTACCCACTGCACTGGAGACCCATGAAGATCCAGTGGTTATTATTATCGCATAAACCATATAGTTGCTACATTTTATAAAAATTTTAGATCACATGTCTATGGGTGCCCTTGGAGACAGTTTTTATGAGTATTTGCTCAAAGCTTGGATTCAGTCTGGCAAGCAGGATGAAGAAGCCAGAACTATGTACGATTCTGCTATGGATGCAGTTATTCAGCATATGCTCAAGACATCCCATGGAGGGCTCATGTACTTTTCCGAACTGAAGTTCGAAAGGATTGAGAACAAAATGGACCACTTGGCTTGCTTTTCAGGTATGCCATTTCTTCCAGTTTTACTATTTTTTTTCTTCTTCAATTTGTTCAGTGGCTATTCGGTCTTTCAGGTGGACTCCTTGCACTCGGTGCACAGACAAGGAGAAACAGCAATTCAGAGAGGCATATGGAAATAGCAAAAGGAATAACAAGGACGTGCCATGAATCTTACATAAGGACCAACACTAAACTCGGTCCTGAATCATTCAAGTATGCACTTTGACATATTGCTATGCATTCTATCTGTACATTATTCAAAAACTGACCCATTTCAGATTTACCGATACAGTCGAAGCGAAAGCAGTGAGGACAAATGAGAAATATTATCTCCTTAGACCAGAAGTTATAGAATCATATTTTTATATGTGGAGGCTGACTAAAGACCAGAAGTATAGAGACTGGGGTTGGGATGCAGTACAGGTGAGAAATTGATTAATGAAATAAGAAGAAAAATTATTTTATTCTTGGACAGGAGTGTCCCTTTAGAATCACACATAGGTTAAAGTGAAAATTATTAACATTTCGACACAAAAATACAAAATTAACCTTGTCATGGTGATCAACGTAATAAAAACGAACTTATATAAAACAAAGCCCAAAGGAGTTAAAACTAAATGAGTTACTCTCAAAATGAACATAGAAAAATAATAAGTACTGAGTAGATTTAAACTGTGGTTAACTAGACTCTGGAGGGAGAGGAGGTGCACATGTAAAGGGGATGTTTAAAAGAGGTAGAGGGCATAGTTTGGAGGAGGGAATTCCAGAATTTTGGTGCTCTGGATTGGGTAATGTAATGAGGCGATGAGTGTATGTGTTTTGGTGGAAGGAAGTAACCAAGGAAATATTAGGCTTCGGGAAGACGGATAGAGCCAGTGTAGGTCTGAATACAGCCATGATAACTTGGACTCTCGTAAAGACCACCGTAAGCAATACAGCTGTATTAGAAATAGGGAAAGATGATGGAGAAGAGCAGGAGTTGATGGGTGGAAAATGGTAGGAGGAGCCAGGACTGGCAGAATTGGATGAGGGAGGCAATACAACGACGGTAACTTTGGAAAATGTGAGGTTACCAGGAGATATTTTGGTCAAGGATAACTCCAAGGTTTTTAACGGAGGGGCAGAAGGAAATGAGCTGAGCTGGTTATGAACTGGGATATGGGGAGGGATTGCAGATCACTGGATCCTATGGTAATAGCTGTGGACTTCGTAGGAGTGAATTTGGAGGAATTGTGTGGACCCAGTTGTTGAAGGAATTTAGGTCTTTCTGGATCTTAATGATGGCCATAAATACTATTATAAGAAAAATTTATAGTCATTGAGAGTTTATCTTCCTTTAAGATAAACTGAACTGTTCTATTATTAATATTTTTTATTTTGTTTCTTATTGGTTAGTTTTGCCATTTCTAATTTAGATTGGATTACCAGTATTTGTCTGTTTTGCAATTTCCATTATTGTCTAGAGCTCTTTGGTAATCATATGGCTTTTACCAGATGCCACTTTTTCAAGGACTCCCATGTCCTTGTCTTCTGGGCTTGTCTTCTTCCAGGAGTAGGAATCTCAGCCTACATAAGCCTTCACACCAACAGAGGTTCCACTGTGTCTTCCTTTTCCTGGTAATATCTGCACAAGCTCATTTCTGCCACTCTGAGATGGTACTCTCTCTCTGGAGACTGCAATGTACAGTTAGCAGTCCAACTATTATTCTAGTCCTAACACATGGTAGTTCTGCAATGGTTCTATGATGAACTTTTCCGCATGCCTATCCTGGGCTACATTCCCGTTGAACTGTTGCCGTTACTGTTCAGTTCTAAAATTATTTTTATTGTTTAGTTGGTTTCTAATACTAGTCAGAAATATTGAGGTAAAATTATGAGATTTTTGTATGACTGTAAAGACTGCGAAGGGATAAACCTGTAATTTGTGCAACTCTGCTTACCTCTCCCTTCTTATAACCCTGACTTGCTATTAGTTTGGACCTATTTGGTAAATAGAAAATTTTTTTAGTGGTAAAGCATTTTCAGTAATCCGATACTAATATTTTTTATTGGATCAAATTAGGATATAAGGAATGTCTATTATTCAAGTATGTATAAAAATACTAAATATGCATACTTCCTGACTTATGCTAAAGTCATCATGACATAAACATGATATTGCATTTATTACATTAATTTAATTCCAGGCATTGGAAAAATACTGCCGAACTCCAACTGGATATTCTGGTTTAAAAAACGTCTACCAGGACGAGCCGATTAAAGATGACGTCCAGCAGAGTTTCTTTTTAGCTGAAACGCTGAAGGTAAAATATTTTTACACTAAGATAATATATTTTTCTTTTGGTAGATTGGGGAGGGTTTTGGGTTCTACCGGCTATCCGTGATCCACACATGTACCTGTTCATATAGTATAACGATTTTTTCGAAGTCCTGATGAAGGCGATATATTCTGCCGAAAGCTCGACAAGAAATGTTGTTTCTGTCTTCCTGGCCTCATTCCCAATCTACTGAAAGAAAAATATTTAAACTGAGAAGGCTGATCAATCATCAAAGAAAATACTAAGATAATATATTGGATCATAAAATAAATCCGTAGTATGTGAGAATTTCAGGTAACTGTAAACAAATGAATCATGAACAATGAAGTAACATTTTAATTGCTTCCTCCCAGAACTTCTCAGGTTTTTGAGCAGAGTATGTGGTTTTTGCAGTTCTCAAGTGAAGTAAATTAATAGTCTTACAGAACCTGGAGTAAATTAAAATCAATGAGCTAAAGTCAGGTGAATAGATGGGTGGGGTAGCACATCCCAGGCAAGCAACAATTTCTGGCACGTGACACATTCTACAGTAAAATACCACCTCAAAAAAATAGGACTACCAACAAATGACCTGTTTCGACTGACTAGAAGAGACTGAGAAGGCATAACATATCTTCTGCAACTACCCCACAATAGCTAGGAAAAGGTTACAATATCAAAGAAAGCCATTTTTTGAGCCTTCTAAATCTAGATATCGTACCCCTGGGAAAGAATTCTCTACTTCATAAAAGAAACTAAAATTTTCCATGATATCCTATAGCAGTAATTGGCCCAATAGACAAAAGTGCTAAAATAGAAATCCCTACAACTCTGAATTTGTGCATCAACAGTTGAAAGATGTCAGAGTGCTTTCCATTTTCCAAATAAAACTTCCCTCTTCTGTTCAAGCAAACCACTTATAGGATGGTGCTTTCTCTTTAAGCATTTTCACCATCAAAATTTTTTTACTGTTTTTCCTTTTGCGGTAATAAAAAAAAAAAAAAAAAAAAACCTATGAATAAAAATTTTAATTAATCCCCTTGGATATCCCACTCTGAAGTACTATCGTGTACTGTAGGGTGAGAATGTGTAATCTTGAGAGTGAAAGTAATTTATTAGTGTGTGGTGAGACCGTTAATCGATATTTATTTAGAAATCATGAGATGCGGTCTGGTGTGATGTAGGTTTCAGAAAAACATTTTCTTTATCGTGCCAACGTTTCGATCTTTATTGAGATCATCTTCAGGGCCTGGGATTTACAAACATTGTTTACATATAACAATTACATTTTGGATGTGGAAAAGTGAATTTATACGATGCAAAATATGTTTTTTTATATGCAATCAAAGTATTTCTACTCACTCAAAGTGTTTGTCTTCTGTGTAATTGTGCCATTCTTGCGTGTCGTGTTGAGAGTGCCAGTGAGATTTTGCTATTTTGTGTTTATATACGTTGGATTTTAAACGGGTGGGGAAGGATGTCGGTATAGAAAAGACATTTTTGTATAAGGCGTCGGCTTCTTTGGGGTGAAAAGAGTCGACGAAGAGAAAAAATGTTTCGGCCAGATTATCCTTTCAGGATTATATAGAAAGGGATAAATAGGAAAAGGAAAGCTAAATTGTTGGGAAATTAGACTATGTGAAAAATATTTGATGTGTGAAATGTAATGTAATGATATATGTATGTTATTTGTATTGTATTTGATTAATGATATTGGCATAGCTGCGACTGAGTTTACATGTATCTGTTCTGTAATTGATGCTGTGTTTATCTCTGTTGATATAAACCATTTCTAAGAAATTACGTTTATGTTTGTTTTGTTCTGTGTGTAATACTTTTTGATTTTTGAAGTTGAAATTGTGTTGGTGTTCAAGATGGTGGGTAGCGAGTGCTGTAGGATTTTATTTAGGTTTTTTGCAATCATAGATATGTTGCTTTACTCTCTTGTCCAGATATTGGGATGTAAGACCGATGTAATTGTAAAAAAAAAAAAGTAATTTATTAGCGTGAATGGGGGGGAATGGATGTGATCAATGCTCAATTTGCAAAATGTACGGATATCGGTGTCATCACAATATGAAGTACTATGACCTTGGGACAGGAAACAAAATATGAGACAGTCGTGACAAACATGCGCAAAAAGAATAAAGATAGAACAAAGAATTTTCTGTTTAAAGGGCAGAGGGCCAGCAATGAGTACTTGATGTTTATAAGCCCATAAATAATACCTGCTACTACTAAAACTAAATAAACACTGCTTCAACATGAAGGATAAAATGATTATTCGAAGATCATGAGATGCGGTCTGGTGTGACAGGTTTTAGAAAAAGATTTTCTTTATCGTGCCAACATTTCGATCTTTATTGAGATCTTTAGGGCTCAAAGGGTTTGTTTTCTGCGTAATTGGGTCAGAGTGCCTCTCATCATGACACACAAGAATTACACAGAAAGCAAACACTTTGAGGCCTGAAGATGATCTCAATAAAGATCGAAACGTTGGCACGATAAAGAAAATGTCTAAAACCTACATCACACCAGACCTCATCTCACGATCTCCAGATAATCATTGACTAACGGTCACTAAACACCACACATTTCTACATGAGAAGAACGATGAAAGATAAAATAAAATTATTGAAAAATGCTATAGACTTATTTTACAACCCAATATATGTGTTTTAAAATTTCTTCTAATATTTAATTAATTTTTTTCCCAACAGTACCTGTACCTACTCTTCAGTGACGACAGCCTGATTTCCTTGGATGAATGGGTATACAACACCGAGGCTCATCCACTGCCAATCAAAGGTGTCAACCCTTACTATCGAGAACACCGGCAGACATAGCCTGCTCTCTAATTTTACTACATATATTTTAAATAAGAAAATCAGTAGGTGATTTTTAAAGGAAGAGTATTCAAATGGAAGTTTATAAAGTCATGGAGAGAAAAGTACCTCATTTTTATCATTAGGAATCTATTACGCCCAAATAGACAAAAATTGGGATTTTAAACCAATTTTTTCTTTTTTTTTGCTTTTGAGAATCTATGGGATCACTAAATTTATTTTAATTAGATACTTGAAAATGAGAAACAAGGTCGTGTTGATCATTGTAAATTAAAATTGTATTAATATTTAAAAATTGTAGCTCAATTCTTTAGATTGTTATAAATTTTTTCAGTTTTAAAGGGTTATACTGTATAAAATTGTGATTGATTTTATAAATGTTATTTAGCTAAGGCCTCAGTCTGTATATATTAAGCATTTGTATATTCTAAAGCACAGTTTCTGGCTTATGTTTACATCTTATACTGTTTATATAAAACCTGAATCAATGGTTGTGGTTTTTTTACAAATATTTTCTTCAAGTGCACTTAAGAATTTTATAGTTTATTTTGTTTAGTATCCTAAATCCAATTGCATTTAACCTCCATTTCTTCATTCTTTGACAAATATAAATATGCATTGTTTTTTCTTTCTTTAAATACTACTATGTACGTTATATTTTTTGTCTGTTAATAAAAGAGCAAAAAAGTTAAACAAAATAAAGACTGAATTACAGTTCTGTTTTATTAAATTTTAATTGAATAACAGTCTTTGTTTCCCTATTGTTTACATTCTCAGCTCGAAATATAATTCATTTTATAACTTAAAAATTCCTCTTATAGATCTGTAGAATTTAAAAAAATATATATGTAAATTTAATGAAGTTTTGAAGCAGGTGATATTTGTATTTCTGTACATACAACTACAGGCAGTGAACTATGATTTCTGTCCTGAATTACTGTAAAAATGTTTTTTTTTTTAATCTAAACTATTATAATAAAAAAAAACACTGGAAGAGAATTGATTCGTCCCAAACGGGAGCATTATAAAAATCAAGTGAAAATTGTTTCAAAACATTTATTGTCAACAAAATATACATTGCATATTATATAATTTATGCTGTATACTTATGACTTTGACTTTGATTCTTGTAAAATAATGTAATATACTTTCTATTTAATAATATTCGAATTACAATATATAAAAAAAAAGATTTGTTTTTATCATTTATAAAAGATAAAAATAAATAAAACCAATTGTATAGTATAATTATTGCGATTTGTTGTTGAAGTTTGTTTGATGTTAGTGTCAATTTATTTAAACGATTTTTATAAAGTGATTATTTCGCATAGGAGGATTAATGTAATTAACTCAAATTGTATAATGTACAAAATAAGAGAGTTGTGTTATTTATTCAGTGCGTACATTGTAAGAGAGAAAAATCAATGCTTCCTTTAAATGAACGGTAACATCGGTTACGATATAAGTGATTCCTAAATTTGATTAATGTAAATAAATAGGACTTTTGGAGAAAAATAAATTAAGACTGTCAATATCATAAAATAATTGAACAGCACTCGTTTTTCTTTTTTCGTATTACATATAAGTAATAAGGTGTACAATTACATGAACGACATGCATGTACATACAAATGTATGTGTATATATTGGGAATGATATAAATATATGTACTATATAAAATGTTAAGACATCTGACATTCAGATGCTTATAAAGAATTATTACATTTGTATTTTTAAAAAATGTAACATTTTTTGAGAATTTTATGTAACTTTGTATTACAAATTAATTTCCTTGTTTTTTTTTTGTTTTTTTTTGTCTGAAAATTATAAATCCGATCGTGTAGTCGGGATTTCAATTAGGAAATTTGCCCTCAAGGTTATTTGCATGTTCCTTATTTAACAGGTTTGTTTATTGTATGGTTTTGTTATGAAATTACTTTTGAATTTACATAAAATGAATTTTAAAAAATATATGAAGGGATTAATCATCAATTTGTTCATTTATTTGCTTTCCTTTTTCAATTTCCTATTAATCAGTAGTATTAATAAAACTAATACTGAGGGTGAGACAAGATAGAATTTCTAATTATAAATTTTCTTAGTTTAATTATTATAGTACACTCCTACAGTAACCCTGAAATGGAGGAGTTTATTCCGTCAGTTCCTACAATGTCACTACTACACTTAACATTTACATAATTACAATTTTTGTTAGTACTTTTAATTTAATTTTATAATTTATTATCTAGAATAACGGTACCGAAACTTTCTCTGTTTCTGGCGCCTTTAATAAATCAGAATTTTTCATCTGAGCCCCAAGTTTTAAAATAACGGTCGATCTCAGTGTGGTCTTTATGATAATAGCAGTAATTCATTTTCCATTTTCAATTCAGAAAAAAACACTAATATATCTAAACCTCTTGTTTTGTCTGCAATTTTATTTAATAAATAATCAAAATTACTAACTTTCTTGTGAAATTGAAAAACGTGCCTTTTGAAAAGTGATTCAACTCTTTCAACTCAAAAGTGACTCAATAGCAAAAATATAAAAACTAATAATTTTTGGGGGGCATTAATATCAAGTGCACAATTGCAGCTGTCTCGTTAACATCCATATTGGATTGGATGGCCGGCCTCCAGGGCTTTTTTTTAAATAAATATAAAAATTATATTTTTTATACAAAATTAGTGCAATGCACTTGAAGCTGTCCTCGGGGAGCCATGGTGCACAGTGCGCGCTGATTTAGAGTAAGATATTTAGTTATTAATGAAAGAAGAATACGCTAATTATCTATATAAGCTACTTTTATAACAAATTATTTAACAATATAACTATGGAAGACAAAAGAATGCCACATATTTATGATTATGCTGTTATTACATCAAAGTTTACACTGTTGATGAATTGATTATTGAATGAAGTTTTTGTAATTAATTGTTATTGCCGTGTTTGTTTTGGGAAGTTGAATGTTTGAATGAAATGTTAATTAATATTTATAGAATTAATAAATTTTTAATTTATTTGGACTATTAGCATCTCAGTGTTGTCGGCCAATTTCCTCCTTCTGAAACGATGTTCTTTATTAGCCTTCAATTAATTAAGGATTTTAGTTGAGATAAAAAAGTCAGTGTCAAGAGCAGGATTCGAATCCACGATCTTCAGCTAGATACACCACTGCTCTACCACTTGAGCTATCGTGACCTTGATCCATTCAGACACTAACTTCCCATCTCAACCCCACCTTTTGAATTTTCTTCTTGAGAAGTTAGTCTCCGAGTGGATTGAGGTCACAATAGCTCAAGTGGTAGAGCGGCGTATCAAGCCAAAGATCACAGGTTCGAATCCCGCTCGTGACACTGACTTTTTTATCTCAACTAAAAACCTTAATTAATTGAAAGATGTTAATTGGTCAAGCGGACCACGAAAACTAGTGAAGTTCTTTACTAGGATGCAACTTTTGGAGATTGTGCAATCAAAAATTGCTGCCCAAAAACCGCTCCAAGTGCTACCATGAATGCAGTAGTGCTGTACATCTGCAGAGGTCATCTTGTGAAATCTCTCCAAGTAGGACTTGTTCCTACCATGTTCCCCTTAGAACTTATGTGTTTTAAATTTTTTTATAATCTTTATTTTTTTATGAGCCAAGGAGATGATATATTCGGTGTATGCGTAAGAATTTGAAGTTTTTTCTTTGAGTTCTGTCAGTCAGATAAGAGATATAACCAGTAGTAGTAAAATAAAAACTGAAAAAAAAATGCGTCCGTTTCCAATTAAGCGATTTTCAGAGCATTGGAACAATCAATAACATTAGATTTTGAAAAAGGCTGTCAAATTTGAAATTTTTGTAAAATAGATTGAAAAAGGGGATATAAAAGCATGGGAGTCAATAAATAGGGATATTTGTTTAAATAAAATCTGAAATGTTTTAGGTAGTGATGGAAGAATACTAAACAGAGCGAAAGTGTTTAGCAAGGGTGGGTGTAGGTTTGTTGGGGCAACTATTATGCTAAAGAAAAACAGAATGAGGTGAGTGAGACGTTTAAAATGTGGGTTATGTATTTTAAGGTAATAAGAAGTGAAAAAAATAATGAGCAGTAGATTTCATTAAAAGGATATATTTTAAAACATTTCATGGGGTTGAAAAACTAAATGACAATTTTCGGTGATCTAGACGAGAAGGAAATGGAGTTTTAGTTTGGGTGGAAGAGGACATTTTTAAACGAAATGCAAATACAGGCTCCTAGAATTGTTGATAAAACCTGTAAATATTCACATGTTTACCTTATTTTGTATAATATTTTCTAGAAATATTTAAAATGAATTATAAATAAATTAAATAGTTTAAAAATGTTTTGCCAGTACAGAGATTAATTAGAGCAGGTACGTTTTTTTTTACGACAGGAATAAAAATTTGACCGTAGCAGTGTTTTATTTTCTTAATAAGAGTCCTATTTAGAATCATAAAGCCTACAACTATGTAATATGTGGCAAAACATTGATAAAATTAGTAAAGTCGTCCGCTTGGCTCGGGTGGGGGATCACTTTTAGCTTCCCTCGGCCGCGGGAGACCAGTCTTGACACAGGCATCGCACCAGACGCTTCAACATGTCAAAATTTGATGGTGCTAAACCGAACTGAACACTAGGGACATCGACTCTGGCTGACAACATGAAATCAACCCTCGTACTTTGTAAGTCAGAGGGAAAGTAGACTAAATCGCTGTTGTGTTCTCTTTACCAAGCAAAACTATCGTACTTACACTTTGTCTCGTTAATCTTATATAGGGTTTTAAAGGGAAAATTGATGTTTTGCTGCCTAGTTTACACAGAAAATAAGTTCTTTTAAAAATAACAATTAACACGACTTAATTAAGCTTAAAGATTTTTGATACATTCGCACGCACTTAAACAATGCATGAAAAATTAACAACAATGTAATCATGACTTAAGAAATACTGCTTTAAGATAAAGTCAGCTTTAAGCTTTGGTGAAGTTAACAAGATGAGCTTTTTAATATATGTTCTTAATTCTAGAAAAGACTTATTCTGATTTATTTTTGTACAAGTATGTAAATGTTGTGAATGTTTATGTCGGATAAGCTTTAAATCATGAAAATTTTAGTGAGAAGGCATTTCAAAAATGAACCCAGATTTAAAATTTTAGTATTATTTTTGGGTTTAAATAGATTTATGCGCTTTTTTAACAGAAGCCAATGTTTGTCTTCATCAACGGCTTCACTCGTGCAATTATCCGAATGTCTCGTAAATTTATCAAATTTTAAAAAACCGGAATGAGGCATCGGGCCAAGGGGAAAAAACACAGCCTAAGCTCTAGGTCAATAATTTCGCTTTCCTGTTTCCACGAGTGGCACGAGGGATATTTTCGGAGTGGGCCACAATCCCGCGTCCTCGTCTCCGTTTTTACTCCCTGCCCGTTCAAACAGAAACGGTCCGAAGCAAAGAAAACAAAAAGAAAAAGTAAATAAACTGAGAAAGTTCCAGAACAAGAAAATCTTGTCAGGAAAGCTGGTCTATTTCATCAAAAAAGACAACTTCCGGTTAAACTTGACCGAGATAGGTAAATAATTATAGATATAAAGAAACAGTTGTCGTCACTAATCTTCTATGATACGAATGTTGATGCTCGGGGAATTTGCTTTATTTTTTCGTTTCGGACTCAGTGGCACACATCATCAGCTCTGTGCATGATGTTTTTATGGCAATACTCTCCTGGAAGTTATGCTAGGGTCATGATGTTATCTTTGGTATAATTGGAAATTCTAAAAAATCCTTATTATGCATATCGTCTTTGTTTGGTCGTTTTAGGTTCATTTTCAGCAAACCTGTGAGGGGTTTCATTGCGGTACTCTCCTGAAGCTGGTGTCAAATACCATTCTTACGAGCAACTTTGTTGTCTTTTGAATTTTATACTATAAGATTAGTGGAGAAGTAAGTAGTGGCCTGGGTTTTTGTTGGCCCTGAGAGCCGATGGTCGAAGTCTGTAGAATGATGCCGATGGTGGATGCAGCAGGAGTCGGTAGCGAGTGAAGGGACTTGGGCAGCGGACAGCCACGTCAGCTGTTTAGAGTGCGAGAGATGATGCTGTGACCACGTCTCTTGCTGCAGCTGGTGCTGACGACTTGCTTCATTATTAGAATTGAGATCTCGTGAGTTCTTGGCTGCAGCGTGGAAAGCGAAACCATTGTTGAAGCCGCGGCGACACCTAGAGGAAACTTGTGACCACAAGTCGTAACCCTAGGATGAAAGGTGTAATAGGGGGATGGATGACGGTCTTTAACTCAAGGGTATCGACTTCTTGCGGTGTCAAGGACGAATATGATTTGTCTGTGTTGACAGTAAGGTTGGGATACGAAGTAGGACGCTTGGTCAGTGGTTCGAAGGATTTTGAACTGGAGTGAGTCCATACCAGTAGAGAGATGTGGATCAATAGGAATAGTGGAGGGTTTGATGTTCTCAAGCAATGCAGCCTCGAGGCTTATTGTACATATCTGTTGTTACTACAACTTATTTTCCCGGATCAAGTTAGGCATCTTAGGTTATAACACCATTGAGAGGTTGCTTCGCATTCGAAGATGGGTGGCAGTTTCTTTTTTCTCTTTGCATAGCCTGCTATATGTGGTCATCGTTGAACGGGGATGAATGAACCAACCCCGTATTGGGTTGGTTTGTTTTCAGTTGCCAACCGATACTCTATCACTCCTCTGATTACTCTGTTTAATGAAAGTTAATGTTTTGGTAGTATCGAGGGTAGCAGTTAGTTCATTATCGTTAAGTTGCTACGTCTGGCTCTTCTGAAATTTTTCTATTTCTCTTTTTGTTTTTTGTGGGCCCATTCTAAAATGGAAGATCTTATAATTTGATCTTGCTTTCACAATCTGGGCCTATAACTGTCCTTGCAGATTCCCTTCTGGTCAGTTTATCTGCTTGTTTATTACCCAAAATTCTCTGGCACCTGAGATATTGTTGGAGTGTAATGTTTTGTTTGGTTTTGAATGTGTTTCATAATCAACGAAAAGATCCATTGAAACTATAATTTACGTTTTCTTTCAAATCGAACTGATGAAGGATAATCAGGTAATCATTGATTAGCTTTTTTAGTTTTATACAATATTGCAGTGCCCTCGCTGTTTTGATCTGTCAGACGCGTTCACTTCTTCACATTGTGTGGATTTTCTACAGACCCAAAAATCGAGATTATAGCAGACCACGAAGATCGGTGAAGGAGAAACGACGAGATCAACTCGATACCTTATATACGACGAGATACCTTAAAAAGAAATTTTACACCATACAAAATAGTTTAAAATATGTGCCATTGAAAGAAACCATAGTCGAATTGTGGAATAGCAGGGTAATAAGCAGGGTGAGGCAAGACATTCTCGAATTGGTGTCAAAACGCAAACGATGGACGCAGTAATTCAGGCTAGTGGCTCATCATCAATCTTGCCGTCAGCTTGCAATGTTGGGCCCATTTCCAGTGAGAGTCTCCGTCAGCTTTGCCGTTGTCAATCTGATCCTGACTTCTACTTTTTGAAAAAAATTTCTTGTCTCCTCCCCTTTGGTTGACTTTCTCCATGCAAAATCCCATTTTGTAAGGGTTTTTTTCGAGAAGGCATTTTTTTTAAATAGGGATGAAGGGCATTTATTATACTCTTTTGGTAGTGTAATGTCATCAGCAGCTTCTTTGGCCAGTCGGTTCGCTTCTTCATTGCCTTGGATTCCGACATGTGCTTCCACCCAAAGCAAAGCCAATTGTTTTCCAGCTTCAGTCAGAACCCCGATATCTTTGCATCACTGTCCATGGGTTCTTCGGATTCCTTATTGATCTGATTGCCACCATGCTGTTTGCATGGATAATAATTTCCTTGGGATATCCGCTTGTATGCATCTGACCAGCGTTAATCCACATCGAAGCCTTAGAAATCGCAGGTTCTTCCGCTTGGTTATTTGAGCAAAATCTTTCTAGTCAGTACTTTCCCGAGTGAATTTTTTCGTTTCTGTGATAGACAACAAATGAACATCCCACGTTTCCATTCTCTTATTTGCTTTCGTCGGTATATACGACGAAAAAACATGTTAATTACATTTTTATCTTCTATCCATGAATCAATAGATGAAATATTTCTAATTTCAACCGTTTCAGCAGAATGAGGACATAAGCTGAAATGCACTGGTCATATTCATCTTCCATGCTTTCCATTATAATGTTTCCGTGGATTATTTCATAATTTTTGCTAAGTTGCTCGACCTTAAGATCGATAGGAATAATTAGGCAATTAGGCATGTCGCTTCATATTAAATTGTTTTATAGCTCTTGATTATTTTTACGGCAATAATCTTTTGAACTCGTTTTAATGTCTACATTGTTCGTGACTCTTAAAGCCTTCACCCACTTTGGTCGTTCAAGCAGAAATACATGCCATCAATGCTTGTGTCCTGAAAAATCTTGAAGAGAGGTTACACTGGCAAAAAAATCCTCTCCCTCAAAAAAGATCTGATAGTCAAGCAGCCATTAAAGTATTAGCATGTAAAAGAATCACATCAACATTAGACAATGAATGCATCTAAAATCTCCAAAAACTGGGGAAACACAACAATCTGATGGTTGGGTGCTAGGGCAGGGGAATTTTGGATAATGAGAAAGCAGATAGTCTGGCCAAAGGAGGATCTGCAAGACCATACATAGGCCCCGAATCTATACTTGGGATAACAAAAACATAACAACAAATATAGACTCCTCGATCGCAGAATGGATCCAAACAAAACAAAGGGAGAAGTGGATAAACTCTAGCGGCGCTCGACGCAGTAAACTTAAGATGAAACAACCCTCACCAAGACTGGCAAAAGCATTGGAGCTGCAAAAGCATCCAAGCTGCAATTGGACAAACAGGGGAGTGATTAGACTACTATCCGGTCACTGGCATCAGAGAAAACATTTACACAACATGGGTATATACAACGATGATCCCATTTGCAGATTTTGTAATAAGGAGGAGGAAACAGCCATCCATATCATCTTCGAATGCGAAGCAACAGCTCAATGGAGGTTTAACCTAACGAAGGAAAAAACTTAGGGAATCAAATTGCAGCAGCGACACCAATGACCTGATACTTCTAAGGAGAAGGATTGAGTCTACAATAAGTCAAAAGGCTGCAGTGCCTGGGGAGCACAAACCCCGCTTCCTAGTAACCTTTTTTACCATACCACCATACCATACCAAAGCCTTCACCCATATTGGAAACGCGTAGGTCATCATTGGAAGAAAAGCCCCGTCATAGATGATCCTGAGAGCCGCCAATACGTTCCGGCACGCTTGGATAGAGCATGTACCATTTTTATTGAAGATTCTGCAATTCGTCTAATATGAGATTTCCAATTTAATTTACGGTCGATTAGAACACCCAAATAGTTCATTTCCCGCACACATCCCTAACCATTCCTACTCGTATTTGTTGTCCTGAGTTATCTCCTGCAGGAAAGTTCCTACGTTCAATGTTGATGTAGCTGGGCTATTTCTGCCTCTTAGAAGAATCTAAAAATGCCGTGTTAACTAATATCAATTTGACATCAAACAAACTCTAATTCAACTTAATCGTTCTGCACTATGGGACTTTTTACTTACGAAGGTACAGTAAAAGTCTGGGAGTTTTCAACAGTGATTAGTCTTTAG